TCCCCTACTCGAGGAACTTTATCATTTTAAGTGTGGTAAACTCAACTCAAAACAGTAAGTATCTCCAACCCACGAATCAAGACTTTGCAGGTTTGCCCCGAATTTGATAGCTGCCTTGTGTTTATAGGGGTTGAGGCACCAAGTTTGATAAATTTCATGCTTTTAGCCAGAGGAAAACATTGTATGGTTGAGATGGAAAGTTTTTGCAATTTGGAAAACTTGGTCTTGTTTTGGAAATTAATAACAGAGGCATTGTTTCATGATCTTGATTCTAAATTTCCGTTACTTAAGAATCTTTGGATTTCTAGATGTCAGGAGTTACGAAGGATAGAGATTTCAAATCTACAAACCAAAGAGGCTGCATGTTGTTAGGGGCTTTAGATTGTAGACTGTGAAGGTTGATAGTCCAAATTTATTCAACTTCTGCTGTACAGTACGTGAGGAACCTGAATTTTCAGTTGCTACCAGGAATGCAACTAGTGGTTTGAGGTTTTTTAAGCGTCCCATGAAATTTCATAGGAAATTTTTCCTGTCTCATAGAGGATTCCTATCCTCGCAAAAAATTAAAAAAATAATGTGTAAATTAATTTTATTTTAAATTTAATTCTACTTTCAAATCCAAATCCAATAAAAATTAAACTTAACTTAATTTTACTCGACCCAACCCAACCCAACCAACCCATTTTTAACCATTTAATCCTAACCTTACTCATCTCATCACTCTAACCTTCCCCTCCCCTTTTGCCGTTGGCACTCAATCTCAGACTCAACTCAACTGCTACTACTCTTACTTAACACTCATTCTTTCAATCTTTCTTACTTCTAGTTTCTCAAAATCTCACTTTCACTTTTACCTTTCTCTCAACCTAGTAACCTTAAATCCCTCCATTGTCGCGTCTACTGATTTGCTGGAGTTGTTGCCAAAGCCAGACTATATACTATTGCTGGAGTGGACTATTGTCGAATCCATCTAGACTGCTGCTATCGAAGCCATCTACAGATCCAAAGCCATCTACCAAGTTAAATTCATCTCTCCGTTGTGAAATCCATTGTTGAATTCTCTGTGGTAATATTATATTTGAAGTAGATCTAGTGATATGAATGATTTTATTAAGGAATT